AACACCTGCAACCAGTCCCGAGTGCGGGGGCCTCGGGCCTCGGCCATAGCATCCGACGCAACCAGCCCAGTGACAACCACTGAGCCACCACAGGAAACACTGCGACACCTGCAACCAGTCCCGAGTGTGGGGGCCTCGGGCCTTGGCCATAGCATCCGACGCAACCAGCCCAGTGACAACCACTGAGCCACCACAGGAAACACTGCGGGCTCTCCCAAGCTGGGGCGGTGGGGGTCGAAGGGCTTCAGCTACATCCCCCCAACACGTGCAACCAGCACAGCAACAACCACTGAGCTGCAGCAAGAAGGGCCCCGGGTTCCCAAGATGGGGTCGTGGGGAGTGAGGGCTTTTGCCACAGCCCCCTGACATCTGCACCCAGCCCAGCAATGACCAAGCCACTGCCAGAAGCCCCCCAGTCTCCCCTGTGAGAATGAGGGGATGCCACAGGCTTCAGTCCCACCCCTGCTCTTTCCTCCATCACATTTCCTTCCCCTTTGCCCTCCCCACTTCCCCCCAACTGCTCTGCAACATCATAGAATGTAAAAAAATATTATTTAAAAAATAAGTAAATAAAAAAAGAAAAGAAAAGAAATCAAATCCTGTTAGGACGGAGTCTGGGGAGATGGCCTGGGTGGGGGAAGAGCAGAAATGTGCTGCTCTGAAATCTGCTTGACCTTTTTCTTGTTATGGAAAAACATTCTTTCCCAGTGAATTTTTTAGGAATACATAAACCATACCATGCATCATTGTAAAGTACACAAGATGCTCTAAGTTTCTACCTGAGCTGGTAAATTACAATCTCTGTGTTGCTGACTGAACGATCAGCTGCCATGAGGGGTGTGGGACATCGCATCATTGTAAAGTACACAAGATGCTCTAAGTTTCTACCTGTGCAGGTAAATTACAATCTCTGTGTTGCTGACTGAACGATCAGCTGCCATGAGGGGTGTGGGACATTCTGCAGGGACGCATTACAAAAGTCAGACTCACTAACCCACAACCCCTCGGGAGCCCGACAGAGGCCGCGTGTCCCCGTCAGAGTCCGGGTCTGTCTACAGACTGCTGTTGGGGCAGTGATGGGGTGGATGTCAGCTGCCAGTCTACAAGGGCCCTGTGTGCAAAGCCACCCATCAAAATGTCTTCCTGTTTAAAAAAGCTGAAGAATTACTGTTTACAAGATGTTCTCCCTGGCAACAGAAAGGCTGGGAAAGGGCTAGACCGGAGGTGGCAAGGACGCTGCCCTGCAGCCCGGGCGAAGCTGCAGGAACCAGGCCCCCCTGAGTTGTCCTCTGCAGGGCAGCGGCTGAGGGTCTGAAGGCCAGCGGGTCGGCTGTGCCCCTCAGGGAGGTTGGGCAGGGGAACCCTGGCCCTGGGCAGCAGTCACTTCCACCTGTGGCAGTCACACCAGATGCTGTGATAACACCTCACGTCCATGATCTCGTCTGAGCCACACTACGGCCTCGCCAGGCAGGAAGCTGCACTCATCCCCATCTCACAGATCAAGAAGCTTGAGGTGGGAAGGGAGGACCTGCCCCAGCATGCACACTGGTCTCTGCTCAGTAGGGCTTGGATGTGGCCGTTTGAATCTTTGCAACACACCACGTCACTGAAATGCTCTTGAGTGTTGGTTTGCTCATCTCTAAAGTGAAGACAACTAGCTGGCTGTGAGAATTAAGTATCACGTGTTTAATTTACAAAGCAAGGTACAAGGCCTACCAAGCAGGCACTCAGTGAACGGCACCTCCTTTCACCCCGTCAGCCCTCAATTCACACCACTACAACCCAGAGCGAGCACCCCAGAAAGTCCACGGATGAGTTCATGTGATTAATTCTGTGTAAGTTATAATATGAAAGCACTAACAATCGTTACGTCATTGAAGTTTACAAAACAACGCTGCCATTCGGACGATCCCCACCAACCATGGCACGGCTCACTGGAAACTGGATGCCTGGAACAGAAAGTGACCGACTCAGGTGACAGTGAGCCACGGAGGACAGCAGGAGACACTGACCTGCCCTAATTCTTCATTCAGATCCGAGGTGTTCACCACAGGTCCTTCCCCCGTTTCCTCGTCAAACATGTCTTCGTCCCAGGTGATGAAGTAGGAGCCAAGGAACTTCTGCATCTCGACAGTGACGTACATGGACACGGGGATGATGTAGTTGAAGAGGACCATGAAGGCCAGGAAGTCGGTGAAGGCTCTGAGGAACTGGGAGAAGCCAGGCGCCGCATCAGCGGAGTCACACCATGAGCAACAAAAACCTTAAACTTAGGCAGATGTCACAGAAGCCCCGCTGTCAAGTACAAGATTTCAAAACCCACACCTAAGGGTGATTCCACAGTGGTACACCTGTCAGCTAATCAGCCTGTCAGCTGACTTCTGGTTTGCACACGGCCCTGCTGTGTTTTCAGTGGACACGGGTCTGTGTTTTACACATGGCCCTGCTGTGTTTTCAGTGGACACGGGACTGTGTTTTGCACATGGCCCTGTCCTGTTTTCAGTGGACATAGGTCTGTGTTTTGCACATGGCCCTGCTGTGTTTTCAGTGGACATGGGTCTGGTTTGCACACGGCCCTGCTGTGTTTTCAGTGGACATGGGTCTGGTTTGCGCAAGGCCCTGCTGTGTTTTCAGTGGACACGGGTCTGTGTTTGGCACATGGCCCTGCTGTGTTTTCAGTGGACACCCATCTGGGTTTGTACATTGCTCTTCTCTGCTCTCAGTGTATAGGGTCTGGTTTGCACACGGCCCTGTCCTGTTTTCAGTGGACACGGGTCTGTGTTTTGCACACGGCCCTGCTGTGTTTTCAGTGGACATGGGTCTGGTTTGCACACGGCCCTGGCCTGTTTTCAGCACACATGCGTCTAGGTTTGCACACGGCTCTACTCCCTATTCAGTGCACACGGCCCTGTTGTGTTTTCAGTGGACACACATCTGGGTTTGTACATGGCTTTTCTCTGCTCTCAGTGTACAGGGTCTGGGTTTGCATGTGGGCCTGCTGTGTTTTTAGTGGACATTCGTCTGGGTTTGCACACAGTCCTGCTGTTTTCAGTGGACATGGGTCTGGTTGCACACGGCCCTGTCCTGTTTTCAGCGCACATGCG